GGTAACTTGCACCCGGTGTTATTCCCGCGGAACACACACGGCAGACCCTCGAGGTGCTGACGGAGGGGCTTCCTTCCGGTGAAAGATTCCAGAAGGTGAGGCAGGTCCTGCGCCGGGAGGATGCTGTTGGGGAGGATGCTGTCGGGACGAACAGCAAACCCAAGAGTAATGCGCTGGGGTGGCCTCCTGCCCACGACGCTCTCCATGCACCCACACGCAGCCCCTCCTGGAAATTCATCCACATGTGCTCCTGTCGCTCCTCATGGCCGTAAAGAAGCTCTGGAGTGAAGGCCAGCCCTGCGTCAGGGGACAGCACTGGCAGGAGCTCCAGGGACTGGGCGGAGGCGCGCGATCCGCGAGCCGGACTGCGGGGAATAGCAGTGCCGATTCTAAGCCGTTTGAGGAAACGGTTCTCAGGACCGCAGTGGAGTATGTGTCACACATTAGCCTTGTGAGCGATTCCCGGAGTCTTTTGTAAATAACCTCACTAATGAACTTTTCCAACAGTAACTAGGAGAGCTTATTATTATACAAACACCTCGACGGACACCCAGCAAGCGTCCACCATGTGCCAGGCACCGTGCGTGGGCACGAAAGGCTGTGGCGGGTCTGACAGTGTTTAAAAAGCTAGGGCCGCCCTGATCGGTGTGGCTCAGTGGATGGAGCGTCGGCCTGCAGACTGAAGGGTCCTGGGTTCGATTCTGATCAAGGGCATGTACCTTGGTTGCGGGCACATCCCCGGTGGGGGGCGTGCAGGAGGCAGCTGATCGGTGCTTCTCTCTCATCGATGTTTCTAACTCTCTATCCCTCTCCCTTCCTCTCTGTAAAAAATCAATAAAATATATATATATTTTTAAAAAAGCTAGGGCCTGGGGAGAGGCAAGTTTTGGAAATGAATTTTCATTGCAGTTTTCTTCTAATCGGTGCGTGCATGCGTGTTTGTGCCCAGCTGGGAACCCTCAGATAGCTCGCAGAAATGGGGGGGCTCTCTTGGGTCTCCCGTTCCATTAGCGATAGGAAGGGAGGTGACGAATGCATCAATGCGCCCAGACACCCCCAATGTGGGAAGCAGCCCCCACCCCCGGGTGCTGCCCGGCGTACTGCTCCTCCCTGGGCAGAGCCACTGGGGCCAGAGTTGGTCCCGGGGGTTTGCTCGTCGTTTCCTCTTGACCAAGCAGCCATCGGCACGCGGCAAGGTCACTGGTCCGAGGCCACCCTGCCCCTTGCTGTGGGCAGACTTCCTGGACTGGACAATGAGACTGAAATGAAGAACTTCCTGAAATCCACGGGCAGACAAGAGCCAGAGCTATTTATCCCACTGCCCATCGGGGCTGGCGGGGGTTAGGGGGCCGTATAAGGCCCTCGAAATCATGTGGTCTGGCCCTGCCAGGGCATTAGGGGGGCTAATGACAGTGTGACCGCATCGAGCAGGCTGATGGTTAAGATACTTCTGTATGGCCCGGGGACGATGTTATAAACATCCAACGGCCCCTGGCAGGGAAAGGCTCCCCATCCCAGCCCGAAGACAGACTCGATGCGTTAGATTCCCGTCAAGGTCAGGCCTGTTTTGCTCCAAGTGGCCGGGAAGCTCATGATCCGCCGGTGGCTCACAGGAAGTGGCCTGCAGACGGCTTTTCAGCTCTAAACACAAAGTTCGTTCCATCGTTTGAAAGAAAAAGTCTCCTGAGGCCAGTGGCATTGGCCCTTCGCCTGTGGCACAGGGGCAGCTGGGAAAAGCAAGATTGCGCGACGGGAAGGAGACAGCGAAGGGGCAACTCCCCTCCTGCCCCGGAGAAACCTCCCCTCTCTCATCTGCTGGGCCGTTTTCCTCCTGGTCAATCCCTCCCGAAACTCATTTTCTCCTTTTAAAGATCAACCAGTCTTACCAACCCAACTGCCCGCCTTCGCCTGACCGGGCCTACTGGGTGCGCTTCCCCGGCCGCGGGACACGCTCCCTCCGTCTGTGCCCCTGTGACGGGTAACCGGGCTTGCACCCTGAGCCGTGATCCCCGAGAGCTAAGGCCAGGGGACCATTCCAGGCTTTCCCCTCGGCGCCACGCGATGGTTCTGAACAAAAGCTCCGGGAACTGTGTGGCCAGCAGGATGCACCTGTGGTTCGGCCTCTTGCTGAGGTGCTGACACGTGGGTCTGATGCTGCTGGACCCGCGTCGGGGATGCGGGTGTGAAACAGGAACTCGGGGCATGAAGGCTCAGCCCGGAGCCCCGCACTCAGCCGGCAGGAAGCACCGTGGGCTGGCATGCGACAGGGACGTCCCGACGATGGAACTCAGTGTCCCGAGAGTGTGTGCGCAGCCCCTTGCTACTGCCCTCATCCACTCCTTCCAGCGCTGGGCGCTACCCGTCAGGGGGCGATGCAGGAGCCACATCTCTGCTGGGAAAGCACCCCGTCCTCACGCTCCAAGCACATACCTCCTTGCGGGCCGTGGGTGACGACTGCAAGGCTGTCTCTTTTTGTTTTTTTTAAATGTTTTACTAGAGGCCCTAGGCCTGGCCGGCGATCAGGTTCCCCGCCTCCTCCTTCCCTCGCTCCCCCAGCGCCCCACTGCCTCCGGTCGCCCACCATGTTCCGTGCCACCCCCTGGTGGTCATCACATGTCATAGCAAGTGATCAAACTCCTGGTCCCCTGGTCGAACTCCTGAGGGGACACTTTGCATATTAGCTTTTTATATATGTACTAGAGGCCCAGTGCACAAAATTCGTGCACAGGGGGTATCCCTCAGCCCGGCCTGTACCCTCTCCAATCTGGGACCCCTTGGGGGATGACTGCCAGGTTTAGGCCCAGCAGTTGGACATCCCTTTCACAATCTGGGACCGCTGGCTCCTAACCACTCGCCTTCCTGCCTGCCTGATCGCCCCTAACCACTTCTGCCTGCCAGCCTGATCGCCTCCTAACCTCTCCCCTGCCGGCCTGATCGTCCCCAACTGCCTTCTCCTGCCAGCCTGATTGCCCCCAATTGCCCTCCCCTGCCAGCCCAATCGCCCCCAACTGCCCTCCCCTGCCGGCCCGGTTGCCCCTCCCTGCCCTCCCCTGCAGGCCTGGCTGCCCACAACTGCCCTCCCCTGCCGGCCATCTTGTGGCGGTCCTCTTGTGACAACGTGAGGGAGGCCATCTTGTGATGACGTGAGGGCATCATGCGAGGGTGGGAGGACCAACTAGGCTTTTATTAGTATAGATATATATAGACTGATTTTAGAGAGAAAGGAAGAGGGAGAAAGAGATAGAAACATCAGTGATGAGAGAGAATCATAGA